ATACACTATATTCAGTTACATGCACGCACGCCGAAAGTGTAAAACGGTCGTTGTCGGCCAAATGTGCCTCTCGTTCTTATCTCGCGAAATAACGACCGGGTGCTTCGTATGACACATGAAAAAAAAAAAAAATCAAACGAAAACGTGAATCTGAGAGCGAGAGTTTGAAACAAGATGGAATAACGAAATTTAATTTCGCCCGAACCGCGCTTGTGTCGGCTGATTGCGTTTTAATGAACGCCGTAGTGGTTCGTAATTTATAACAGGTATATTCATTTAACGTAATTTCAAATTTAGAAATTTATGAGTATGCAAAACAGAGGTAGAATTTATCGTAATTTTGCCCGGGCGTATTATATCATATGGCAGTTTTCCGACATACACCCTCTATCTAGTTTCTCTGTAAACGTTAATTAACGTAGTCATGTATTAGGGTCGCGGATAATTATCATCGTACAAGCCACTTCGTAAATTATGCAGCCGTGATGCATCCGAGCTCTCAATTCTTTGAGTACCTGGCTAGAAAACCTCACTTATGTTCTTGTCTCATAAGTAGAAGTATAGTATTAAATCAGTCCTTCTATATCCTTAACCTTTTTACTCTGCATATTATAAATTTCGGTAAAAAATAATGTTATGCCTACAGTATAAAAAATAAAATTTTAATTTTAACTTGAAGACGTTTAATGGACTTTCTAAGACATGCAAATTAAAATTAACATTTTTGTGTTGATGTAATATCTACATCACTAAAAAAATTTAATTTCTTATATGTGTTTCTTATATGTGTTCTTTGCTGATAAACTTAGATGAAATTAGTCTTAAAATGTGATATAGCTTAATCAATGTTGAGAAGAAATTTAATGTAACATCGTATTACTAAGTGTGATTTGATTGAGAGAGAGAAGAAACTTAAACAAAATTTATCTTACAATTTGAACATAATTTGAGTTCTGTTCCTCAAATTTTAATAATTAATTCTTAAGAAAGATGCATATATGATTCATACATGAAATAAAGTTTATCTTTAATTTGATCAGAAAAATATTAATAAAAATTAATTCGTTATTATTATTTTTCTTTTATTTTGTTACATCTCGAAAATAATCAAACTGTAATTTTTAATAAATCAATAAATTTAATTAAATCAATAAATAAATGCGATTTAAATTTATCAAAAAATAAATTTAGATCGCATACCGTTTTTTAATTCAACTTTTTTATCCATTAGAAACACGAAACATTCATTAAATAAACATTTTAACTAAAACAATAATGTTTCCGTTAAGTCCTTGAAAATAACAATTGATCAAAACGTAATTTTGAACAAAAAATCAAGTACAAAATATACGATAACAGCTTATTTATCAAAACTGATTTAAATAAAACATTTACAATTGCTAAAAAAACACTAAAATCTCTCTATTGAACTTGAAAAATCTTAACTAGAGAAACATTTCACGCGATTTATTTTCTTAACATAAAAATATCAGAATAAAAAAAAGTATAAATTTCGCGTTGCTTGAAATCTCTAAAATTAAAAAAAATTAAATTTTTTATTTAAAATAAAATAAATATATATTCGGGAGTTCGAAAGAAAGAAAGTGAAGAATGCGAAAAGTATTAGTTATATGAATTGATCATACAAATATTGTTTCACGATTATTTAAGCAATTAAGCAATAATCATTCTTTATATATGTGCAGGAAGTTCTTTGTCTCTTGATCGACAATAACGTAATTTCTGAACATCAGTAGTAAATATTTTGAAGATGGCTCGAAGAATGAGTCAAAACGTAAATTAAATCTTTTATATTATTATATTTTCTTACTTATATGTATTTTTATATTTGTGCGCTCCATCATTCGTGCATGAACTTGTACTTGTAGTTTCCAACATATTTTATGAGTTTTTCTATTTTATTATTTAAAAATTATTTCCTTAAAGCTCTTGTTAACTTACTACTACTTTCTCAGATTGTGACATCAGAAAAGAAAATACATAATAAAAACATATCAATGTGAAAATCTATTTCAATAAAATTTACAATCGATAGATTTGATTTGTATAATTATGTCAAAAATTTTCCTTTTGTTTCAATAATTAATAAATAACCATATTTTTGAAAATAAATTATGTGTCAAGAAATATTAATAAATAATCAAGAAATAAATTATATTCATTATGACAGATTATATCGAATTAATAATATATAGAAAAAATATGATTTAGTTTTTTTCCCGAAATAAGAAAGTTTCAATATATTTTATAAATCTATTATATTACAAATATATTATTTTATTAAATAGAAATATTTTATAAAAAGCATTCAAATATAATTGGCAAAAGCTTTTATTGTATGTTTTTTTCGTTTCTAACGTCACAATCTAAAATAACAATGGTGAATGAACAGAAACTTTAATAACACTTGCATTCAAATGAATCACGTGTTGCATTTTAAAGTTTCGATTTAGTAAATATAATTCGACCATTACTTTGAAATTGACAACGCGGGATGATACACGAATCGTTCAATCGAGGTATTCGTAATGAGAAACCTCAATACAGTCATCGTGTATTGAAAATTCATTTGTAATAAATATAAGAAATGCATTACGCGAACACTCATTACGCGATAAGTTAAATATTTGGCGGGTGTAAATCTTTAAATAAAACTGACTTGTGTACGATCTTGATGTTTACTGTGCCGCAGGGGCGTTTGTTACGCGTAAGTACACAAAAAGGACGCAGCGCCGCGCAGTATTGTCAGTTGCACGGCGATACTCGAGCGACAGACAGCGTCCATCATGAGCTGGCTCTGCGTTATTCTTCTCTATAACTTCTCAAGACTTCCTTACGAGTAATTAGCAATTATTATCAACCCGCGAGATTAGTCTTTAGAGAACGAGAGTTTATTTTTAAAGGCTGCTTTCCTTTTAGGCGAACTTTTAGGAGACACAGTCGACATTTTTTACACTAGTTGACATACGTCGCTTTACATACTTATTTTGTTTTAAATGTAAAAATTTTTTGAGATTTTTCAAGCAATGCAAATAAATTTACTATTTCAGCGTTATTATAATAGTTTTCCGAGTGGCTTTCCTATTTTGAAAAGATTAATCGTTCCGCGATTTGTGTATCAGAACGACGGAAATATCAGAACAGATATTTCGCGCGATTTAATTGCACGTATACAATAGAAATCAAGAAATAGAAAATTATAGATTATAAAATATATTAAAATTACATAATAGTATACCGACGTTCTTTTTCTGTACAATTTAATCAACAAGACGAAGATTCTTTTTAATTATTGATACCAATGACTAGATGGTTTGACATTCCGAAGTATACTTTTTTCATCGACCGACCATATGCTAAGTTTTTACTGTTTTGACAAATTTTAATGTATGTATTGTAGTTATGTTACTGTTCATTTTAATTAACAAGACGAAGATTAATAATTTATCTCAATTATTGATACCAACAGTTGTATATAGTTATACAATGCAAAGTATATTTCAATTTTCATCGATCGACTTTATGTTATGTTTTTATCGTCTTTGACAAATTTTGTAAACATTGATAATGATCCGATCGTGACCGAAACGTCTGTTAGCCGACATGTTATTAAAGTTCATAATAATTAATTAAGACACTTTTATTATAATATATACATTTCATCTTATTAAGACATTTTGTATCTTATTAAAACATTTTTATCTATCAATTTGTCTATACGTAATATTTTTTTGTATCGTGGCCCCCTTTTTTTTAACTCGTTTTTAAATTACATATATTTTTTATTTGCAACAGTGTTTTACTCCTTTCACGTTAGAATCGCATCGCGACTTGAATTTCTCCCTTGATTTAAACACGATTTTTTCTATTTTTAGATTTAAAACGAATAGAAAAATGCACGGATCGCCAGGATCAGAGAATTTGCGTAATAAAAAGCAGCTTGCGATATATAATATCAAAATAATTCAAGTATTCCGCAGGATTTACACGTATTCGATTCGAAATACGCACATATATTGCGCGTGTTAAATTTAAATTAACCGCGTGATAGCGAAGTGAAGTTGCCACATATTCGCTAAAGTACTACCGTCAGTCCGTTAGTACTGTCGCGTCAGTGAAGAGAGGATTGTTGTCGCATCAGGTGGATCGTTGACGGCATCGTCGAGGCGGCTTTAAGTAGTACAATCGTGATTAATCTCGTATCGTGCATTTATCAATCACATAACAGATATTTATCTCTCGCACGATAGACTGTGATAAACACGTATTGACGTATATATATCGCGGAATTCTTTCGGTCAAAAATCTATCGCATGTATGTACGATCGA